TTTGTAGAAGTTTCAGTCTTTCCAATCTACAATTTATCTACAATTCTTCAATTTATCTACAATTTATCTACAATTTCTGGAAATGTGTCTTCTTCTTCTTCTTCTTCTTCTTCGAGTTTCAATCTGAAATTCAGTCAAAACCAAGTCTAATCTTCACCAAAACCCCTCAAAATTGAGATATAAACTCCAAACCATATTCCCGATTATTTTCAACAACACCCAATCCAAACAAATAATGATTTTTGAAAACCCAAATTTGAATTCAAAGCTTTCAAGCTTTTTAATGGCTATCAATCGTGGAAAATATATGGAAGAACAGATGAAGATGAAGATGAAGAACAGAAATCTCCTTTCCGTTTCAAAATTACGCAGCTTCGAGATCTCGTTTCCGTTTCAAATTTTGAATTTAATGTGGAATAAATCAATCCCAGATTCTGTGGCTGATTTTTCGCGCGCTAAAAATGGCAGATTCTGCCTAAATAACGAATGGTATATAAATTGTAGATAAACTGTGGACTGGGGGGGTAATATACATACTATGCACATATTTGGTAATAAGGTTTCATATATGGTATAGTTAGGAAAAAATCCATTGCTCAACCACTCGACCCAAAAAAATAAATCCATACTCGTATTTCATAGCGGTGTGGAAAAATGGACCCATATTCAGATTTGCATTGGGCTGCCTCATTAATTGGTTTAATTTGGGCTTCAGCCCATATATAACAGTAAGAAGTACAAATAATTGTTAAAATATCATGGTATAGCCAGTTTTCACACTGGTCAATGAAAAATAGCCAGCGTTTATCAAGTCAATGAAAAAATAGCCACTATTTTGCTGCAACAGGGACCGGTCCAGTATAATATACGGGAGTTCTGGTGCATTTGTGTACGAACTCCAGCATATTATGCTGGACCGGTATACTTTGCTAACTCCTGTAAAATTTGCGGGAGACTGGAGCACCAGTGCTCCAAACTCCAGTATATTATACTGGACAATTATACTTGCTGGAACTCCCGTAAAATTTGGGGGAGTTCCAGCATAATTATGCTTGAACTCCCGTAAAATTTGCGGGAGTTCCAGCATAGTTATACTGGAACTCCCGTAAAATTTACGGGAGTTCAAGCATACTTATGCTGGAACTCCCGTAAAATTTGCGGGCGTATTTTTCCGGATTTTTGAACAGTGTTTTTCGCTCAGATTTTAAAGTGGCTAAATTTCGATAACTTTTGAAACTTGGCTATTTTTCAACGACCAATGGTAAATCTGACTATTTTTGAATTTCTCCCCAAATAATTGGATCAATAACTAACCAGCGGGACCGTACTAATAGTATTGGAAAGTGAACACTCTTGTGCTGAGTTTTGCATAACCAATTTATGGTAAATTGACGATTAGCAAAAAATATGGCCATCTTTTTGTTTAGATGCATTCTGAAATGGGTTCGAGTAGAGCTGAATGATATACAGTCAGACCTCTATAACAACATCTCTGTTTGAGCAAATAATTGCTAAATCAATTAATGATAAATTAAAGGGGGTGAGTTTTAGTTGATTTTAATAAATTCTAGACCGGATAAAACAGAAAATTATCAAGTAACGGACTGAATACACTATGATTGACAATAAATGTAATGATGTGAATATGCAATAAATGTGACGATGTAAATGCGTAATAAATGTAAGGAACGACAAAAAATGTGATAAAAAGGGATATGTCACCCAGCTAACATATGATTGGGATGTCCCTTTTCTTTGTCTGCGACGTGGAAAGGTATGAAGTTAGGATAATGCGGAATTTCTATGTTTATGGATTCAGATGGGACAACAGGTTCTTCAATAATATTATTGACAAATACGACAACTCTTGGATATTCTCTGTTCTCAACTCTTACAATGTGCTTTCTTTCTCTCAGTTCCGAAAAAGAAGAAGAAAAAAGGATCCCTTTTCTTTCCTATCTCTTCCTATTTATAAGGGATATTTCCCAAAAACCCTAAAAGGTACAACATAAAAAATATTCCTTTGGGATATTCTTTTTGCCCACTTATGGACCCATATTCCCGTTACTCTCTCATCTCGGCCGCCTGTTTTTGATGTCAGCCTTTGTGGTAACGACCTTCAATCGTTATATCATGGTCGACCCCGTTCCTTGTCTTATGTGTCCGTTACTGTGATCACCAAATTTGGACATATACAGTTAGTCCCTCCGCTTGTCAAGGTCGTGGCCTTGCGCGTCCTCGATAAGTGGACATCATTTACTTTCATCGCGGGAGAATTTGGCTATTAAATCAAGTCAAGTCAACCAATATCGAGAGAACGACGCAAACGGCGGAGTCATGACTGATGTGGTTGCCATGTGATGACGTCATAGCCACGCGCGTCATCATTACACATCTTCCCGAGACAGCGTTTGTGCTCCTGTTGCTTTGGTTTTGATGTCATTGACAATCCTTCACTTTGATTTTTGCGCCACCCAACCCTATAAATAGATAAGGGTTTCGTTCTTTTAGAAGTTTTCATCATTCCGCTCCTTGCATGAACGTTATTTTCCTTCGATCCTCTTTGCCAATTCCTGTTATTAGCTTTGTTCCTTACGATTCCATTTCTCTCCTTCTTACTCGGTCATCACCTCTCTCTTTAGGTTTAGTAGCATAGCCATTGAGATGTCACAAACCCTTCGTATTCATGACAATGTTTCCGACGCCACTCCATTGTCGGTGGCTCCTCCTTCCTGTGGTGAGGATCTCGTGGCTGAAGAGGGTGAGAGTTTTCCTACTGTAGAGGAGATAATTCCTAGGAACCCCTGTCCAGAAGCGATTTCCACAAGGAACCTGTACCTGCTCCCGTTCTGGTGATCTCTGAGACTGGGCCGTCTCACATAGCTGAACTCCGATCTACGTATCATATCCCTTCTCAGGTCGAGATGGTCCCAGCTGGTGGCGACATCGTAGAGATCCATCGACCTGGGTATTGTGCCTTTTATGTTTATCCTTTCTTAATCAGCTATACTCTCCATTTTCTTCCGCTGGCGGAGGAATTTGTCGATTCTACAACGTCTGCCCGGTGCAGCTGTCCTTGTATTTGTAAAAAACCTTCCTAATGCTGATAAAGTATGCGGAGTTAGATAGTTGCGAGGTCGACGTCCGCCACCTATTACACTTCTTTTCACCTAGTTTTTACATAGGCACTATGATACACCTGCGAAATCGTGGTACTAGGGGGTTGGTAGTTAGAATGGATGATAGGACGAATCGGATGTTCTGGCACAGGTATTTCTTTATCAAAACTGAGCACTTGGTGTCGGACCCCGCTAGATTTCCCGAGCAGTGGAATTATAACTGTAGATGTTGATGGTATACGCTTGTTTTCTTCCTTCGTTCTTTTTCGATTTTCATTCATTTATGGTTTCCTTGTGTTATTTTTCTTTAGCTGAGAGGCGTGCACCCTTTCCTGTCGTTGGCATTGAAGACTGGTTGGCTCGCGTGTTACCTCACATGGCGGGTATTCGAGATTGGGCGGTCTTCTACAAACGCTTTGGACCGAAGGTCCCGTCTAGTAAGTGTTTACTTTTGTTTCGGCTTTGTTGTTTGCTGCTTTTTATTGATACGACTTTTTTGTGGTGACAGGTCGACGGCCTTCTAAAAAGAAAGCTCTAGTGCTGGTATTTCGCCAAGCCATTGCATCAGGCAGGGATGCAATTTACTTTGGCCGAGTTCGCTCGCGGAGGTCGTACTCAAACTTTGTCGATTAGGGACCCCTCTCCTCGGAATACTGTTGCACAGGACGAGATCTCTTCCCGGCCCATCTACCACCTTGTAGACGAGTCTTCTAACAGAGAGGAGTCGCCATCGAGAAAAAGTAGGAGAATGGAACTCGGAAAGACTGTCGCCCCTAGCGTTGAAAAGAAAAAGGTCATCGCCTTGAGAGCGGCGTCCTCACCTATGCCAGACGCAGGGACCGTTTTTATGGCGGATGCTATTAAGGTGGGGAGGTCCTATGTGGCCGAGGAGGTATACCAGAGTGGGGAGCCTGTACGGGTCGCTAAAGGTGGCGCGTCGTCGGCGGCCGGAGGAGATAGAGCGGCGCTCGCAGAGGACGACAGTTCAGGCTCAGACATCGATCCTGAAGAGGTGCGGTCCTTTTTGGAAAGAAATACCCGCGTGGAGGTGAGGACGGAGGGTCCTGACCGACACGTGATCATCCCTGTGGATTACGATCTCTTGGCGAACGTTGAGCAGGCAGTGTCGTCGATGTAGACTTCCATTGTCTTGCCGAGGTTGTCTTTGAACATCTTGGTGACCAACCTTTGGTATTTTGCTCCTGCGTTCTTTAACCCGAATGGCATGACTCTGTAACAGTACGTTCCCTGATGGGCGATGAAAGTAGTTTTCTCCTGATCCTCTTCCTCCATGAGGATTTGGTTGTAACCTGAGTAGGCGTCCAAGAAGCTTAGCAATTCGTGCCCTGTTGTTGCGTCGATGAGTTGGTCGATGTGAGGCAAGGGGAAGGAGTCTTTTGGGCATGCTTTGTTTAGGTCTGTGAAATCTATGCACACCTGCCATTTCCCGTTTTTCTTTTTTACCATGACCAAATTGGCGGCCCATTGGGGATATTTTGATTCCCGGATAGAACCGTTGGCGAGCAGCTTATCTACTTCATCACTGACATCTTCGTTGATTGCGAAGTTGAATTTTCTTCTTATTTTCCGCACTGGTGGATAGAGTGGGTCGACGTTCAGCTTGTGGGTGGCAACGTCTTTCGGGGTGCCTGGCATATCTGCATGGGCAAAAGCAAACAAATCGGCGTTGTTAATTAGAAACTTGTGAAATTTACCTGGTTTTGAGAGTTTGTGTCCGATGTACACCTTTTTGCTGTCATCTCTGTTGTCCAGTTGGACGGGATCAAGGTCTTCTACAGTTGATTCAGCGGCTTCCACGATGTCGGGGTCCCTGATGACGTTTGTTTGCGCGTCGAGTCCGGTCCCTGACTTGGGTGATTGCTATGCTTCTGAGTCTGTTCCTTTTAGCTGTTGGGTGTACGTGCAGTCTTGGGCGATGCGATAGCATTCTTGGGCGGTGCGTTGTTCGCCTCGAATGCTGAATATCCCCCATGGAGTAGGAAACTTTATCACTTGATATAGGCTTGACGGTATGGCTCTCATGGCGTTAATCCATGGCTGCCCTATGATGGAGTTGTAAGTTGTATCCTGGTTCATGACGTGGAACGTTGTTTCTAGGGTGACACCCCCGGACAAAACGGGCAGCGTTATCTCTCCAGAGGTTCGCGTAACTGCATTGTTAAAACCTGTTAGTGTTATGCAACGCAGTACTACCTTGTCTTCGAGTCTCATTTGTGTGAGGACTCGAGGTTGGATAATACACGCGCCGCTTCCGCCGTCTAACATTATTCTTTTCACATCAGTATCTGAAATACGTAAAGTAATAACGAGAGCATCGTAATGGGGGAAAGTCAAACCGTCGGTATCTGACTTATCGAAGATGATACTGTCCCCGAGGTCATCGTATTGTTCGTGAGTGATCGACCGCTTCAGTTTGTGTGTAGTGGTGAACTTCACATGGTTGATCGCCGTTTTATCGCCTCCGCTGATGATCATTTGGATGGTGCAGGCGGGTGAGAGTGGCTTTGGGGGTCCCTGGTGTTGTTCATGTCCGCGGCCGAAGTTGGCTCGTTCGCGGTCGATCATCAGTTCCCTCAGGTGCCTTTGATTCAGCATGTTTACTACCTCTTACCGTAGAGCCATGCAGTCCTTAGTTTTGTGACCCCGCTCCTGGTGAAATTCACAGAGGACGTTCGACTTTTGAGTACTTGGGTCGGACTTCATCTTTTGTGGCCATTTCACCTTTGTGCCAAGCTTTTCTAGTGCGTACACTATCTCTGAAGCGGAAACACAAAATTTGTGAGCGGATAAGAGTGGAGGCATACCTCTTTCATTTCGTTGAGTCCCTGTTTGCAGCTTGGGCGGCCCTTCCGCATGTCGAGGAGATGGTGGGACGACTGTTCTAACTTAGGGCTGATCTTTTTCTCGGTTGAGACGGGGGCCTGGTTGATCTCTCCGACCATCGTTACGAGAATCTTTTCTCGACTCTGTTTGAACCGATATCAGCCGTTAAGGTCGTCCTCGTTGGCTCTCACCTCGGCGCAATAGGCATTGTGGATTTCTTCCCAAGTGGTGGGAGGGTATTTTATGAGCTTGCTTAATAGCTTTCTGGTTGCTCTCGACCCATTCCTGTTCAACCCGTTCTGGAAAGCCGCTATCGCCATCCCTTCTGATACATTTGGTAGGCTCATTCTTACTTTGTTAAACCGGGTGAGGAAGTCCCTGAGTCCCTCGCCAGGCGATTGCCTGACGGCGAATATGTCGTTCATCCTTGCTTCCGCCTTTTTAGCCCCTGCATGGGCGGTGACGAACTTGTTGGCCATTTCCTCGAACGTTGGTATTGACCGCGCCGGTAGTTGTGAATACCAAGTTAAGGCTCCCCCCGTTAAGTTTTCGTCGAACTTTTTCAGTAGCACTGACGGTACTTTCTCCTTTGAAAGGTCGTTGCCTTTTACCGCTGTGACGTAATGGATGACGTGATCTTCGGGGTCTGTAGTACCATCGTATATCTTCAAGTAAGGTGGCCTTTTGAAGGTTTTGGGAATGGCATGTGGAGCCGCTTCCTCGCTGTACGGTTGTTCGACGAACCGACCAGCGTCTCATTTTGGTAGTAGCTTTGGGGCGCCCGATATCTTATCGACCCTTTCTTGATGTTCCCTCATCTGGTCGCGGAGTGCCTTTTTTTTATTTTCCATTTCTTCCATTTTCTTCAGAATGGCTGCGAGTGCATCATTATTTGCATCAACAGAGGTGTAAGTGATACTTGTTTGAGGGACGGGCTGCTCGCTAGTGATCGTTGTGGTGTCTGTTTGCGCGGTCCCTTTGAATGAGTTTGTCGAGCATGTTGTTTAGAGTGCTTGTCAGCCACTCTTCCAGTATTTTTTTCACTGCTGGTGGTGCTTCCTCAGCTGTAGACGTGGAGGCTCCCCTTTCGCGTGAAGTTGTTACATTTTTATGAGGGGGAGCTAAAGCATTGCGCCTTGGCGTAGCGTTTGGTGTTACGTTCTCGTTATCTTCCCTGCCATCTTCGTTGATAGTGTTCAAGATGTTGGTAGTAATGCCTGCTATTGCTTTCAGTCTTGCATCTCCTTTTCCTGTCATCGTCAGTTTGCACAAACGAAGAAAAGATGGTTGTTTTTTTTATCTAGAAGGAATAAAACTTCGACTAAAACCTCCCCACAGACGGCGCCAAATTGTTTGAGCAAATAATTGCTAAACCAATTAATGATAAATTAAAAGGGGTGAGTTTTAGTTGATTTTAATAAATTCTAGACTGGATAAAACAGAAAATTATCAAGTAACGGATTGAATACACTATGATTGACAATAAATGTAATGATGTGAATATGCAATAAATATGACGATGTAAATACGTAATAAATGTAAGCAACGACAGCAAATGTGATGAAAAGGGATATGTCACCCAGCTAACATATGATTGGGATGTCCCTTTTCTTTGTCTGCGACATGGAAAGGTATGAAGTTAGGATAATGCGGAATTTCTGTGTTTATGGATCCAGATGGGACAACAGGTGCTTCAATAATATTATTGACAAATACGACAACTCTTGGATATTCTCAACTCTTACAATGTGCTTTCTTTCTCTCAGTTCCGAAAAAGAAGAAGAAAAAAGGATCCCTTTTCTTTCCTATCTCTTCCTATTTATAAGGGATATTTCCCAAAAACCCTAAAAGGTACGGCATAAAGAATATTCCTTTGGGATATTCTTTTTGCCCACTTATGGACCGATATTCCCGTTACTCTCTCATCTCGGCTGCCTGCTTTTGATATCAACGACCTTCAATTGTTATATCATGGTCGACCCCTTTCCTTGTCTTACGTGTCCGTTACCGTGGTCACCAAATTTGGACCTATACAGTTTGTCCCTCCGCTTATCGAGGTCGTGGCCCTGCGCATTGATTGGTTAAGTGAGTAAATGATTGGTTAACTGAAAAATAAAACAAAATATTGCATGTGAATTCTTTGATAGTGAGGAGAAAAAGAGTCATTGACCAATTGGTCCATCAAATCCTTGTAATATCGAAGTGACTAAACTGATCCTTTGAGTTAACATGAATAACTAATATGGTTTCAACAGTAATTGGAGAAAGACCGTTCGCTTTATTATTAGAGCATTGAAGCTTTACTTTGACTATCCTAATCTGATGCATTGGTGGTAGGTAACGCGTCTAGTTAGATAATGGTCGTTGGAATTGAGCAAATTTAACCTTGAGAAAGGAGGAAAAATATTGGCTGAACTATATTGCCAGCGGATGTTGTACACTGGTACTTAAAAAAGGATGACTTCGGTTAGTTTGGTATTGAAGGGACCAGATACGACATCTAATATTAAATGTATTTGAAGCATTTTTGAGAAAGAAAATCACAACCAGGAAGTAAGATTTGGAAATTGGATACAGTAATAAGTAAAAACAATCTAACCAAAAGATAAGCTTAGCAATTTGGATAATTTGTACCAAGTTGACCATGGAAGATATTGTAAATGAAGCAGTAATGCACCCAAGATGTTACACAAATAATATTGGAGTCTATATCACAATTGAGCTAATACAGGGATTTGAATTTGAGATTTTGTGGAGTGTGTTCAGCCACTTCATGAAGATTTTCCCCATTAAAATCTTTTAACCTCTGTTCTTCAGAAATTAACCAGAATCCAAGGTGGGGACGTTTGTTAATTGTTGTCACATCAAACTTGAGAAAAAGGTACCACTTCTGGACTACCTAGGTAGCCTGTTTTGCGTGACTCACAACTCTTTCTACGGCCAAATATGTCCCCGTACTATCAAAAAAGATTTAAACGTACCCTCGTTATATTTTGAGTCCATATATAGCCCGTCGTTATACTATTGATTCAAATATACCATTCTTCCGTTAAGTTTGTCTAAAGTTGGCATTCAATCTGTGACACTGACATTTGATGAGGTGGATGCCACATGGCTTGCCACCTAAGCGCTCCTAACCTATTTTATCCCTCTTCTATTTTTTTTCCACCACTAAAATTTCTTTCCCCTCTACTACTATTGCCACCATTACCGCTACCATAAAAAAATATTATATTTTAAATTTTAATCTTATATATATGGATCATGGGCACTGAGGTGGTATATCATGTGGCATTCACCGCATCAAATATCATTGTCACGTAGGATTGGATGTCTATCTTGGACAAACTTGGATATATTTGAACAACGGAAAAGGGTTCAAAATGCCCCTAAACTATTGGAAAAGGTTTAAGAATACCCTTCATCCACCTATTGGGCTAAAAATACCCCTCCATCCACTTTTTTGATTCACTTATGCCCTTTGACCGTTAGGTCAATGCTAAATTAAAAATAATTATTATTCTTTTTGTAAAACTTAAAAAAAATTATTTTGCAAAATATTTTTATTTTTTTAAACTAATGCACCAATAGTCCACTAATTTAGTAAAGTCTTCTTATTTTATTTTTTTCAGGTTTTACAAAAAAAATATTTTTTTTCAGTTTTTTAGCATCTTTTTTTTTTTTGTAAAAACAGAAAAAAATGTTTTAAATAAAATATTTTCGTTTTTGAAAAATATTTTATTTTCAATTTTTTTAAAGCATTTTGTTTTATTTTCGTTTTTTAGTTTTCTTTTTAAAGAAAAAATATTTTTGTTTTTTTAAAGAAAATGAAAAAATTTATTTTTCAAAAATGAAATATTTTGTTGAAAATATTTTTTTCAGTTTTTTTAAAAAAATATTCTATTAAAATTATTTTTTTCTGTTTTTACATTTTTTTCAGTCTTTACATAAAATGAAAAAAATGAAAAAAATATTTTTTTTGTAAAAACTGAACTGTTTTTCGTAAAAACTGAAAAAAAAAAAAAAAGAAGAAGAAGACTTTACTAAATTAGTGGACTACTGGTGCATTAGTTTAAAAAGTAAAAATATTTTGTAAAATATTTTTTTTAAGTTTTACAAAAAGAATAATAATTATTTTTAATTTAGCATTGACCTAACGGTCAAAGTGCATAAGTGAACCGAAAAGGTGGATGGAGGGGTATTTTTAACCCAATAAGTGGATGAAGAGTATTTTTAAACCTTTTCCAACAGTTTAGGGGCATTTTGAACCCTTTTCCATTTGAACAATAGTATTAAGGGAGGGATTTATTTGAACCCAAAATATATATATATTTAAAATATTTTGTTATAAATAGAATTTTATTTATGGTGAATGTCTATATTTAGAGAGATTCTAGGGTTTATTACTTGGTGGCTAAGTCACCATCTCCCTATAAATAGAGGGTTCTATTCCATTGTAATTCATCCCAAAATTAATAAGAATTACTCTCTCCCTACTTTTCTCTACAATACTTTTGTTCTTCTTTTATTATTTCATAACACGTTATCAGCACGAGACTCTAACCAGTTGAGTAAAGCTTTGGGATTGAGCATAATGATTGTCAATTATTCCATGAACTTCCTTCATGATTAAATTCTGAATTTAAGGTAAGTCTTTTACCATACTTTTCTCTTTTATTCTATACTTTGATTTTAAATACAAGCAAAGACAACAAAGTTTGATTATAACTCTAATGGAGTTTGTAAGAAATTATAACCACCTGAAGTGGTAAAATTTCTATGCCTCGCCATGATCAAATTCATGTATGATTGTGGGCAAAGAATTGAAAACCCGTCCCATTGAATTTGCTCCATTCTCATTCCCTTAAGAGAATGTGATAGCAGTATGTGATAAGTCTGAAAGAAGACAAAATTATTACTATGGATGTATCAATGGATATGGACGTGGCAACAGACGAAATTATAATCGTCATCATTTGTGGTAATGAGAACAATAAGGATTCTCAAAATAATCTTTCACTCTGTGAAAAATATTTGTCATCGATTTGACATGAGATTTTGTAAAGCACCTATAGATGATTATGGTCCACTCATAATGTGAATGTGACAACATCTGATTTATGAATACATATTCATTCTTCAAAGAATATGAACGTGCTAGTGGTAGTGAATATACCGCACTCACCTCTAAAAGGAGGTTTGAGATGATATAAGAATGGCATGAATGGTCATTGGTCACGTACCTATTGTACGCCAAAATATTTTGGCATTGTGATTATTAAAAGACAACGATAATGCAAGAAACATATCTTGCATATAATTTTGACCATAACCATAATGGTATAACTTTCTCTTTAAAAGAGATATTCACCATATGGGTGTTGATGAATATGTGGTACTACAAAATTAATTGAGAACTCTGCAAGAACCAATTATACTATTTTGGAGAAACACAATTAATTACCAATAAGGTATTGTGTTGTAGTAAGTCTCAAAGAAACTTATTGAGTTTCCAAAGTATACGCGAAAGCGGTTGATTATATTGAGACTATAAATAAAGGAAAGATTTAATATCTTCTATTACTACAACTTGTAGCTGGGTAATATGTATGTGAAAAGCTACCCGCTTTATTCTCTAGTTTGTACTACACAAATAAAAGAATACCACACTAAAGTGGATGTTTATTGATATAAAAACCCATATCATAATAAACTTGGAGTTTATATATAATTGCACACGTCATGGTGTAAATCTGAAGTTTATCAATATTGATAATTTATTCAGTTGGCATAATGGGTTTAGCCATATCAATTCAAGTATGATGTGCAAAAATAAAGAGAATTCACATGAGTAAATATTAAAGAAATAGAAAGTTCTTTACGAATTCTCTTATATTGCTTGTTCTCATTAATTAATATACCAATTAAAATTGGGATTGAATCCCATGAATGCTGGAAATATCAAAGGTGATATATGGGCCCATTCACCTGCCATGTATACCACATAAGATGCATCTATGAGATGGTTACATGTGCAATTATTATTGACCCGCAACCTGGTGTTTGCGAGGTAACTTGCTCAATAATTTAATATAGAGCATAATTTCCAGATTTTCTATTCAAGAAGTTTATCTTGATAAGTTGGTTTACATCACAGTTGGTTTAGCAAAATAATTTATTAAGTGCCTCTACTTAATAGCTAAACTATTGCTTATGAGAACAAAGTTATCTATATCAGTTTGATATACGTTATATACGAAAGTATATTATTTTCTCCCCTTACAAGTGGTTCATGGTCAGGAACCAAATAATTCCATCTTATTATTATTGATGTGCGGTGTATATTTTGATTAACACCATAAAGCACAAAGATGGGTTCTCAAAGTTGAGGAAACAAGTTAGTTTTTCTAACATGAGGGGGAGACATGATAAACGGTTGAGAAAAAGTTACGTGGAATGAATTATCATTAGTACATTTAGATCCTCGAATAAAATAATATGAACTTGAAGTTCATAAAAGGATAATTCATGTGCAATTTATTGCAAAGCATGCCAGACGCATTTGCTGGCCCAAAGAAAGTAACTATATTCTCATTGCAAATGCTCATATTTAGTCCTAGAAGGACAAAGTCATGGTACGCTTATAGCATACAGACAAATCGGTTTCAAATAAAACTTCATGATAAAGAAGATGAGCAAATGATCAAAATGATCATAATAAGGAGGCAAGTGATCTAGAAGATCACATGACATAACACTTCATAAAATCTCATGAGAGATTCAGGTACCTGAATATATGAATGAAGAGATCTCTATGTTATGTCTTTATGAAAAATAAGGAGGTTGGAACCGATATAAAATATTCGTCGACAACATCTATAATAGCGCTAAATATATATGAGGATCTCAAGTCTGGAGAAACAATTCAAGTAGAATTTGGTTTCCTATGAAAGACATTTAGTTTGAACATGTAGTTCAAACACTTGAAAGTATAAGTCAATGGTATGTGCAATCAGTTTTCGGTATCTTATATGTCTAGCATGACATGAAAACTTGATATGCATCTAAAGTCTATTATATGACTTATATGACAATCCTTGAAGGATTTAAATCGCTTGAAGCATATACAATTCTTGATCTTGAAGTACCACTTTCTCAGTACAATTTGTGCACAAATGTATCTTGCTATAACTATAAGCATGATAATATGATAGCAAGAGTTTTCACCTCTATGTGAAGATATTGAACTGACGATTCCAACAAGATCATATGAAGATAATTCTTCTCTATCAAGAATGATGATTTCATGGTGCAATATATTCATTCAAGTTAATATGGCTGATTTGTTCATCAAATCTCTACCAAAGATCTTTTGAAGATGCTGCACAAGATTGGAATGCAAATGCTTAAAGATGTGAATTGATGCTCTCATCAGGGGGGGGGGGGTAATACGCGTTGTACTCTTTTTCCCTTACAAGGTTTTGTCCCACTGGGTTTTCCTTGCAAGGTTTTTAACGAGGCAACCAAAAGGCGTATTATTAGATATGTGTACTCTTTTTCATTTTCTAGAATTTTTTTCCCGCTGAGTTTTATTTTAGTTAAGGTTTTAACGAGGCACATTATCTATTGAATAGACATTCAAGGGGGAGTGTTATAAATAGAATTTTATTTATGGTGAATGTCTATATTTAGAGAGATTCTAGGGTTTATTACTTGGTGGCTAAGTCACCATCTCCCTATAAATAGAGGGTTCTATTCCATTGTAATTCATTCCAAAATTAATAAGAATTACTCTCTCCCTACTTTTCTCTACAATACTCTTGTTCTTCTTTTATTATTTCATAACACATTTCTCATACTACATGCCTTAGTTTTTAAAATCCAATTTGTCCACGTTTCCCAGTTTTAAAGACAATACCTTGCACTGTCTTCATTCTCAAGGAAATAACCAGTTGGTCCATTTCAAGTTGGTCTTACAATAATGACAACATCGCCTTTAACAAGTTTAGATTTTTTGAAACTCTGATTCCAAATTCTATTATGGCTGTCCTAAAAGAAGGGAGCAGACCACCATGGGTAGGACTTGCTGCTGCTGTTTGGGTACAAATAGCAGCTGGTAACGCTTACACTTTCCCACTCTATTCCCCTGCTTTGAAATCAGTGTTGGGTTTTAGTCAGCAACAGTTGACTATTATTGGAGTTGCTAATGATATTGGGGAGAACGTTGGCATTCTTCCAGGCATAGCTTGCAACAAGCTCCCACCTTGGGTTATTTTGCTTGTTGGCGTTTGCCTTTCTTTCTTTGGCTATGGCGTTCTTTGGCTTTCTGTTAGCCAAACTGTGCTCTCCTTGCCTTATTGGGTTGTGAGTTCTTGATTTCTTTTTCTTTCTCTCTTTCTTTTTCTAGTTCAAGTATCTTATTGTTACAGACGTCTTGGGGGCGTCCTCATAATATATCTCAATTCTATCTATATTTATTCTAATTCCAAAGATTGCGCTATAATTTATTTCATGTTTTGTCTCCTGAAGCTGTAGAATTGTTTAGTCTGATACAGAAATTATGAGTGAATGCTGATGCTGGGGATAATAGGATAAATTTTGGTACTCTACCTTATATCTAGTCATAAGGTATGGGATTTTGACTTTTACATTGTAGCTTTAAACCCCCCAACCACGACTCTTTGATTGTGAGGGTTTTTTTACCTTAGTAAATGCATGTGACTTGAATTTTTCTGTTAATCTGTGTTGTACGAGTTCATGTTCAGTTTGGCATGGAATAGATTTTTTTTTTGTTGAGAAAGTTGGCTTGGAATAGATATTTTCTTTTCATCATTTGGACTGGTATAGATAGTTGAGGAATAATTGGAGGAAACACCAAGTGTCACCAACCATTTCTAGTAGGTGTGTCATTTCACTATTGTTATTAGAACTTCAGTAATCTTTTAGAAGTCTAGAGATTCTTCTAATGAGGAGATTGAAATGTTTGAACATGAGTGCAATGTTCTGATCCTTCTAAAGGCTCACTTCTTGATATAACTTCCATTGACATAATTTCCGTGTTTTGACATTTTACTTTGTTAACAGCTTTATAGCAAAATTTGGGCTTGTGTGTTCTACAGAACTTGTTCACATAGTACAGAACTTGTTTCACGTTGTTATCTTTGTGCATATCTGATTGAATGGCAGCTTTGGCTTGCACTGGTGGTTGCTACAAACAGCAGTGCATGGATGGGCACAGCGGTACTTGTCACCAATATGAGGAACTTCCCTCTCAGTAGAGGCACTGTTGCTGGAATACTGAAAGGTTATGTTGGTCTGAGTGGTGCAGTTTTCACAGAGATCTTTGCTATGGTTCTTAACGATTCAGCTTCGGAGTTATTGCTCTTTCTAGCATTGGGAATTCCCATCATCTGTTTGGTCATGATGTACTTTATCCGGGCTTGCACACCAGCTTCCGGCGAGGATTCCTCAGAGCATGTCCATTTTCTTTTCACACAAGCAGCAAATCTCTTGCTTGCAGTTTATCTTCTCACTACAACAATTTTGAAGAGCACGCTATCTCTAAATAGTTCCATCTCCTATATTCTTGCTGGAGTAATGGTTATTTTCTTGATGTCTCCTCTAGCAATTCCTGTGAAGATGACACTGTTTCCGTCTCTTCATAAGAGATCTGGAAAATTAGATGGTTCCTCAAACAATTTGACTGAAGAAGAAGTCAGTTCCAGCCAAACAGCGTCCTTATTAACTCCAATTTCATCAGAAGCAGACCTTGGGAGCTTTCATGAAGGTGAAGATGTTTCTGAGGTGGACATGCTGCTGGCCGAGGGCGAGGGTGCAGTGAAGAAGAAAAGGAAACCTAGAAGAGGGGAAGACTTCAAGTTTCGTGAAGCTGTTGTTAAAGCTGACTTCTGGCTTCTGTGGGTAGTATACTTCCTGGGTGTTGGGTCTGGCGTAACTGTTCTTAATAATTTAGCACAGATTGGAGTTGCACTTGGTGTAAATGACACAACGATATTGCTGAGTTTGTTCAGCTTCTGCAATTTCTTGGGCCGTCTTGGGGCAGGTGTTGTTTCTGAACACTTCGTGAGGTAATAATCTGACTTCTTCCACCTATTTTCTTTGTTTCTCAAGAAGGACGGTGGCTAGTGCGCTGAAGTTCTCTCTCTTGCTCACTTGGCTGCGGGCTAGGGAATAAAGTGCTTTTATTTTTTTGACTTTTCTTAAATGATAGTATTACTAGCTTTAAATATATCCATCTTCATGGTTGCTAGCTCCTCATTCTCATAATTGGTAATGCATTACTTTAATTAATCGTTCAATGCTAACTTCAAGAATGACTTGAATTGATGATTGCTAGGTCGCTGTCTGGTTTGATTGTGACCAATAATTAACACTTGTATCATGTCTATTGCAGGTCAAAAACAATTCCACGGACATTTTGGATGATGATAACACAAATCATCATGATTTTAACATTCCTTCTGTATGCTTCAGCTCTGAGTGGTACTCTCTATGCTGCGACCGCGTTGCTAGGAATTTGCTTCGGTGTTCAGTTTGGTGTCATGATTCCAACTGCCTCTGAGCTTTTTGGCTTGAAACATTTTGGTATAATATTCAACTTCATGCAGCTCGGCAACCCTATCGGAGCACTTCTGTTTTCTGGTCTACTGGCTGGTTATGTCTATGACGCAGAGGCAGGAAAGCAACAAGGACCCCACTGTCTGGGCGCAAATTGCTTTAGACTCACATTCCTGGCTTTAGCAGGAGTTTGTGCCTTTGGCGCATTCTTGAGCATGATCTTGACCATCAGAATTAGACCAGTTTACCAGATGTTGTATGCTGCTGGTTCTTTCCGTGTGGCCCAGGATTCTGATCACTGATTGGTAATGCATTACTTTAATTAATCGTTCAATGCTAACTTCAAGTTATAACTAGAGTTTTACCTGTTTTAAAGAGCCATGTCCTCAACTGAGAATATAACTGGAAGTGTGCTCTAAATGAATGTGGCTTCCATCATGTTCCTCTGGATGAAACCAATAGTTGATGTCTTAGTAAGATGTACTAGTGTTGATTTCGTAATAATTTTTGGGGACAGCTTGAGGCTTCTATATCAGGAAATAAATAGTGCATTGAATTGCCTGCAAATTGTTATTGTTCATTAAGTAAATCTTATTGGCTGATTCTGAAAATGTAGTGATGTATAGTATTAGCTTTTTATCCTTAGTATGAGCTGCTTAACAGTGCTAACAACTGGTAGTCAAGTAAGGTGGTGAATCCCCTTCCTTCCCCCCTGCCTGTTTTTCCATCTACCTAAGCTTTGGTGGGCAGCTGGTCGGACACCACTGTTATCATAAGAGAAATGAGGGAGAGGAGACAGAGCAGCCCGATAGGTAGGGAGGAAGGGGGATTTGCCACTTTATTGCGAGAGTGAACTTGCTGAAAATTTTACATTCTTAACTAAATGCTAAAAAGAAAAAACTATGACTCAAGATTTAATTACCATATGGCCTTTTGAGAAATCAATTATTATTTGAATAGAATTTGTATGCCACCATAATAGCCATAATGGAGTATGAAGAAAATTTGTATGGTAAAATAAGTTACTAAAACACTACATTCTGCTGCTTACAGGAATTAGTTCAGAAAAATATAATGCAACAATTCCAGAGACCACTGAAAGGTATCTAAACGAAGGAAAATCATGAGGATAGTTTAACTAGCAAATCCCTCATCATTTCAATTCAAGTAGATGTAAAGAGTTCCAAGAACTTAAGTAGGTTTCAAGTCTTGAAACATTGCATCCCACTTAATCTCTTCACTGTAAATGACATCCATGTCTTCATCATCGCGAAAACCCTCAACTGGAGAGCTTGAAGAACTGCTAATCCAACTATCAGAATAATCTATCATGAGATTGGGACTCCTATTTGTGAGCATCATTAACCTACCTTGATTAGGAGTAGCATTAGTACTCTGCATTACTGGCCTTTCTTGTTTAGCTGCAGTTAATCTGTTATTCCTCTTCAGCATAGATGCTTTCCATCTTGAACTGTAATTTCTCAGGGGCAGCAGGGCACTTGAATCTGGTCGATGAGTCCACGTACTCCAGCGCTTAGCAAGTTGTTGCTTTGCTTGTTTGATTGCTAAAATAAACCGCAAGATATGGATTCTTGAGCTTCTGCTATTTTCCTTCCTAGCTAGCTTGAGGATTTCTAGCCTATGTTTGGCTATTGAAATGCCCATACTCTGAAGAAATTCATGGTTGAAATATTCTATATCATCTTGATCAAGTTCGTTTTGAGCAAAAACAAGAGCATAGTCATAAATAAGAGAAGGGTCAAGACTAGTTTTAGAGAGCCATGAAAACCAGTCCATGGTCTTTCAGTATATGTGTGTGATTATTGTTGAAGATGGAGAGTGTTAAAGGAAAACCAAGATGTTGGAGTTAGCCAAATTTTAAGGAGTTGAGGTTTTCATAAGAGTTGGTTTGATTGGAAGTAAATGGTAGTTGAAGGTGAGAGTGACAAAAGAGGAAGGACCCGTGAACTAATTAAGACTATGTTCCTTTTAAGAATAGACCACAAGTCCATAAGTTTGATCAGACTTTTCATACCTGCACAAGTGAGGATTTCTGCCACCAGTCACGGCTTAGAAGATGGTTTCTTATGGACTTCAAATTATCCAAAAAATGAATTTATTTGCAAACTGTCATTTCCCATTAATAATGAATAAAGAAAGGAAATAGAGAGATTGGGCTGGTGATTAGAAGTCTATTTTTAACTAGTGGAGGAAATTAGTGTTAGTTTAACAATTTCACAACATTTTATGTGATAGTTGTCTTGGTCATATTATAGTTCCTGATTTGGTTGAAGAAGCTTTCCTATGGACCCCTCAATGCTTATAATTTCTCAATATCACTTCGATGTACGATTTAATCAGTCGCCATGAGCAACATTTACATAATTGCTCAATTAAACCTTTCTGGCAAGCTTGTTTGAAGAATTTGGATTTCTGCTATTGTTGCATTCAACATTGGACACAAAGATTAGGCTAAAGTTACAATACCATTGAGACCACCTAGTCATGTCAAAAACACTTTATTTGAGACCAACAAAGGTAGAGCTTTGAATCCGAATACAAGTAAAATGACAAACTATTGTCGTTTATAACTCTCCATTCACATTTCTTTTATTAGCTCTAGTCATCCAGCAACAACAAAATCAGACTGTGCCTGTACAACTTCCCTGGATGAGGTGTTGAATCATGCTATAACAACATTTCGCCCTATTCAACAAGAAGTAGCTAAAATTTGTACTACAACTCAAAAAATTACTACTTGAGTTGAATGCCATCAGCCAGAGAAACTGTGAAAATACTACTACAAATAAGTTCCTTCTCAACAAGGCCCTGCCCATGCAAAACCACTTCACTGCTTCTTGTTAAAGAAAATAAAAAGGCAAAAGAACGGACAATGAAAATGCCTTAGTCCGCAGCTAGGTTGCCTGCAACTAATCAGCAGCCATAAACGGGTCTGTACCACCAAGATCCGCCACTAGTGGTTCCAAATCAGCTTGGTCTTCATCTTCTGGGGCAAAGTACGTGGGAAATGGAAGCGTTGAAATATCTGGCTTCTTGTACACAGAATCTTTGATGAACACAAAGTTACCTTCAGCTCCCGGAACCTGAAAAGGGAGTTACATTATAATGTATGTCTTCAGTATGAACACAAAGTTACCTTCACTGGCTCTGAGTTATCGACCCGTATAACTGAGCAAGGACTGGCATCATACTGAAGAATTTCGCACTCTTTACAAGATCAAAGCAGTTTTATCACAGTTCCATGTAAGAGATTGAAATGACACCTTTCTCCGGACTTAAACTCGTAGTTACCTCAAGAAGGAACAGTGACCCCCCACCCCGCTTAGTTCCCATATATTTGCAGACTACTCAGTTTTTTATTGGTGACTAATATTCATTAGAAAGCATACATGGGGATTAACAATGTTGATTGCTGATGTTACACTGCCAACTAGCTCTCTCTCTCTCTCTCTCCATCTCTTTATTTTTTTTATTTTGATAAATTACCAACTCTTTTAGTCAAATTGAGTTTGAACGCATAGAATTTCATCTGAACGATTGCACAAGAAAGAGAATTATAATCAAATTATGAGTACAATGTGATAACTCTCATACCTACTTGTTTCAAGTTTAAAAGGAAACGAAAAGGGTTTCAAATTCTTGCCTGGCCTTTGACCCACATCAAGTTTCTGGCAGGATCAATCTTGTAGACCCAAACATTTTTAACAGTTCGTTGCACTCCACCCATGCGCCCAGGCATCTTTCTCCCTTTAAATACCTTTAAAGGAAAAAATACAAATTAAGCAGAAGCTCGTAACATTAACTAGATTCCACGACAGCACTATCCAAAAGCAACTGTTCGTTTACTTCAAATCAAATATTTAGCAAAATGAGCAGCTAATTAAGGATATCAAATGCAACTTCAGTAAGAGTTATCTGGCCCAGATGAGAGGTTAAAGTTCCCAACTAATTTAGAATATCACAGGCTGTTAAAAATAATTTAGACTACATGAAGGTCAAACTCAACGACATGACGGAGGATTGCATGGGCATACTTCTCGAAGTGACCCATAGTTTATTAGAAATAACGTAGCAGAAAACTCAGAGACAAGAAATAATTGCGTGTACAAAAGAATGGTTACTCTTTTATAAGCCCAATCCTGCCCTAATTTTTTTTAGGAGGGGTGGGGTTTTCAAAATTCTGTACAGCGTAATTTTGGTAAAATAAAACTCATGCACTGTAAGTTAGTAATTTAGTAAATAAAATTGAAGAAAAGGTAATACCTACCTTTCCTGGAGCATCTCTTTGACCTGTCGAACCAATACTTCTGTGGGATAATGAAGCACCATGTGATGCAGGCATACCTTTAAACCCCCATCTTTTCATCCCACCCTACACACATGAAATTCCCCATCTTTAGTACAGTTCATAAACGAGATATACCCTCCAAGAGTGAGACAACACTAACAATTAATTTGCATAAGAGGTGGAAGACAAAGTAGAAAGGTGGAATTTTGTTATACAAACAAAAAAATATTTCTACCATTAGCTAATGGTTAGAGAGCTGATATCCAATATAACATGACCGTAGTAAACGTTACTACTTCTGTTAAAAAACTGCCATGAAGATTAAGAAATGCTCAATAGGCAACAAAATTTGAAAAATTCAGGTTGTGTGGTCTATGAAACACTCAATGAAGTACAACGACTTGGTTTCAAACCGCCACTTTGAAGTCCAATAATATTGTAAGTCTATCACTCAAACTAACTGCCTAAAAGAAAAAATAATGACTCAAGGTTTAATTACCATGTGGCCTTTTCAGAAATCACTTATTTGAATAGAATTTGTATGCCACCATAATAGTCATAATGGAGTAGGAAGAAAATAGCACCAAGTTTTGATAGGTTGAAGCTAGACCTAATATTGATCAAGCCGGTCAATCAGTTAAGGACAGACGACAGAATGAGTATTTTCATAAGTATTTCACACATGTATTTTTCCCTTGTATTGATCTAAGTTCAAAATAATTTAAGAAAGGTAGCTAAGTAAACAAGTCGTCTAAAAACTCTGGTCAACCAAAAAATTAGATTTCCTTTTCAGCTTTTCTTTGGGCGACCTTTTCATAAATAATCCCTATCCGAACTTTGTGGAATTCTTGATTGAACTACTTTGCTAGAGAGCGATAAGAGAACCTTCCAAGGAGTGCATAGTTGATAGACAATTCATTCTTGGTTAGAGCAACTTGTATATATTGATACTGAACATGGAAGTACCACCTCCTTATTGCATTTTTATTGATGAAGTTCTAGGCACTCATTAGTGAAAAAAACTTCACTTTCTTTTGATAATTATGTCTTACTGTCTTCTGGAGTCCTAAAACAATTAGCAGTTCTACCTACTTCTCTCAATAGATATCTGGACCAAAGCAGATGGCGCGATCGAGAACCAATAACATGAAAACCCGTAACACTCATACCAGCACAAAATGGATGAAGGGTCTTCCAACATGCCACATACGAGAAGCCCTTTAGTCGGTACAGTAGATCGCTAAACAGTCAAGAAAAATATAGAAGTGTAGAAAACATTTTTGCTTATATAAAGCGTTAACTCAATTTTCATTTTTTTTTTATATGGTAAGTGCAATTTTCATTTAATATAGCGAAGTGAGTAGTCCATACCAGGTAAAAAGCAATCAATAAGATATATCAAACAATAAACACAATCAAGATTACTCCACACCTGAAAACCTTTTCCTCTTGTAATTCCAGTAACATCCACATACTGGCCAGGAACGAAATGGCGGACACTGATGCTTGTTCCACCAGGAAGAAGAGCATCTTCGGTAACTGGAAATTCCTTCAACTTTCTCTTCATGGGCACACCTTGTGCTCTAAAATGACCTACTTCAGGTTTTGTCAAATGCTTCTCCTTTTTGTGAGCACACCCAATCTAACTAACACCATAATAAAGATCAATTAAATAACAATCTATAGCATAAAGAGTAATTCATGCAGTCCTTAAAGTCATTTATTCAACCAAAATATCTTTATTTACTGATTTTGGTCGATTTTGTAAAGAAATTACTCAACCAATATCGAGTTTAAAAGCCACCAAAATATCAATTTCAGGCTTGAAAACACATTCACAAAGTCGTCACAACGAGTACAATGACACATTAATTACAAAAATAAGAAAACTATTTCAGTGATGCATTTGAATTATGGGGGCAGATAAACTGGTAACAGTCAGCATATCATACACTAACAAAATATTTCTTATTCTAGTTTTCATTTTTTTTTATGGGGACAAAGATTCAGTCTTTAAGAAGTTAGCATAATTAATTCACCTGTAGGGCAGAGATGCCTTCTTTCTCCGGGGTTTTGACCTGAGAAACAATGTTATCGTCAAGCCAAAGGATGGTGATGGGGAGGCGTTCCCCCCATTTGTCCCAGAGTGCTGTCATTCCACATTTTACGGCTATTGCTCCTGTCCGTTTCGAGTTTGGAGTCATGATCCTAGGTTTTCCTTCTATAATCCGATTCCTTAGTTCCTCCACTTGGCTACTGAAAGTTCTTAACTGGGTTTCTGAGAAGAGGATACGGACATGAGAAATGAGGCTTCTCGCCATTGAATTGAGGAGTTCTCTTTCTCCTTTTTCTCCCTCTACCTCCTTCTGTCTGTATGGGAAAATAAGAATGGAGAAGATACAAAACAATGTTATAGTACTAGCAATTTCACAGCATTTTTCTTTAAAACATGAAGAGAAAAAAGTCTAGTAATGCAATTTGAATCCAAGCAACATAACCGGAGATGCAGCGGCAACAAAAAATAGAGCTATCAACCTAATCTTACCTCGGCAAGACTGGTCGGCGACGACAACAACTGAAGAGAACAGTGAAGAGTGAAGTCTAAAGGGCCTTTGGAGTTAGGGCTGCGGGCGAAGCGAGCCGTAGCCATTTTTAAGCCCACTATTTAAAAAATATTCAAAATTTATACTCTGTTTAAAAATTAGCCAATTTTTTGAGTTGCTAATTTAAAATTAAGGACTAAGTTTCTGCTAATTTAAAATTGATGATATTGTATTTGTCTAAATTTGGCAACTTGATAATAGCTAAATACAGGATCGAGGACGGGGTCGACCATGGCGTAATAGTGGAAAGCCATCTTCAAGGGGAGCATAGTCGAGGACAGACAATTGGGTTACAAGAGTAACGGTAGGATAGACTTAGGAATGAATACAAGGAATACTCCTCTGAATATTCCTTACTTTTGTATTTATTAGGGTTTCTTGGAAATACCTCCTATAAATAAAAAGAGATAGAGAATAAGAGGGGATCTTCACTTTCTGAGAAAAACATATTGTAAAAGGTTGACTTGAGACAACAACAACAACAAATCCAGTTTGATCCCAACATGTGGGGTCTGGGGAGGGTAGTCTGTACGCAGACCTTACCCCTACCTAATGCAGGTAGAGAGGTTGTTTCCAATAGACCCTCGGCTCAGGAAGGGCAAGAAGAAGAAGAGGGAAGCAAGGAAGGAAGAAAGATGGAAGAGAAAAAAGGGAGAGATAAAGGATAAGTAGTATCAAATAATAGCAACAGGGAATACAATACCTGAGGCGAACGAAATTACATATCGTAATAAAAATCTAAGAATATGAAGGGACATGCACGCTACTAAGTCTATCGATAAACAATATAAACTACCTACTAACCTTCTACCTTAATCCTCAACCTCCACACCCTCCTATCAAGGGTCATGTCCTCAGTAACCTGAAGCAGCGCCATGTCCTGCCTAATCACTTCTCCCCAGTACTTCTTAGACCTACCTCGACCCCTTCTCAAACTCTCCATGGCCAACCTCTCACACCTCCTGACAGGGGCATCAATGCTTCTTCTCCTAACATGTCCAAACCATCTCAACCGCGACTCTTGCATCTTGTCCTCCACGGAGGCTACTCCCACTCTGTCCCGGATAGCTTCATTCTTAATCCTATCTCGACGGGTACACCCACACATCCATCTCAACATCCTCATATATGCTACTCTCATCTTCTGCACGTGGGAGTTCTTGATTGGCCAACATTCAAGCCCATACAGCATAGCGGGTCGAACCACCACTCGATAAAACTTACCGTTAAGTCTTAACGGCACATTCCTATCACATAGGACACCGGAAGCGAGCCTCCACTTCATCCATCCCGATCCGATGCGTGTGTGACATCTTCGTCAATCTCCCTGTTACCCTGGATAATAGACCCGAGATACTTAAAATTCGCTCTCTTGGAGATAACTTGACCATCAAGATTAACCTCTACATCTGCATCATGGGTCTCACTTAATTTGCACTCCAAGTATTCTGTCTTGGTTCTACTTAGTTTGAAACCTATAGACTCCAAGGTCTGTCTCTAAACCTCTAACCTCGCGTTAACTCCGCTACGCGTCTCATCAATCAACGCTATATCATCGGCAAATAGCATGTACCAAGGCACCTCCCCTTGGATGTGACGCGACAGTACATCCATCGCCAACGCAAACAAAAATGGGCTAAGAGTCGATCCCTGGTGCAACCCCGCCACCACAGGGAAATGCTCCGAGTCACCACCCACAGTCCTCACCCGAGTCTTAGCATCATCGTACATATCCTTAATCACCCTAATGTACGCTACCGGGACGCTGCTAACCTCCAAACACCTCCACAGAACCTCCATCGGAACTTTATCGTGTGCCTTCTCAAGGTCAATAAACACCATATGCAAATCCTTCTTCCTCTCCCTGTACTGCTCCACTAATCTCCTTACCGGATGAATAGCTTCCATAGTCGAACGCCCCGGCATGAATCCAAACTGATTCTCGAAAATAGACACGCACCTCCTCACCCTGGCCTCCACCACCCTCTCCGAAACCTTCATAGTGTGACTCAATAACTTGATACCCCTATAATTGTTGCAATTTTGGATATCACCCTTGTTCTTGTAAAGCGGAACCATCGTACTCCACCTCCATTCTTCGGGCATCTTCTTTGTCTTAAAAACAACATTAAACAACCTAGTGAGCCACTCCAAACCTGCCCGCCCCGCGCTCTTCCAGAATTCTACCGGGATTTCGTCTGGCCCCGTTGCTCTGCCCCTGCACATCTTACGCATCGCCCCTTCCACCTCCACCATAATCCGCCTACAATACCCAAAATCTCGCCAACTCTCGGAGTGCTCCAACTCACCCAGCACAATGTGTCTATCCCCCTCCTCATTCAACAGTTTATGGAAGTATGTCTGCCACCTTCTCCTAATGAGTGCCTCGTCCATCAACACTTTGCCATCCTCGTCCTTGATGCACTTGACTTGGTCTAAGTCACGGGCTTTCCTCTCCCTCACCTTGGCCAACCGGTACAACCTCTTGTCCCCGCCTTTGACCTCGAGCTCCTCGTACAGACGAGCAAACATTGCGTTCTTAGCCGTCATAACTGCTAACTTTGCCTCTTTCTTCGCCTTTATGTAACACTCTTAATAAGTCCTTTTTTCCTACTCGTTTGTACTCTCTACTAGCTTCAAATAAGCAGCTTTCTTAGCTTCCACTTTACCTTGAACCTCTCCATTCCACCACCAGTCCCCTTTATGACCCCCAGGAGAACCCTTCGTTACCCTTAAGACCTCTCCAGCAACTACCCTAATGCAATCCGCAAGTCATTGACCACATACTAGATTGGTCCCCCATACTCGTCCAGGCCTTCATAGCCAACAACTTCTCCCCTAACTCCTGATCTCTGTCCTCGGTCAAGTTATCCAACTTGATCTTAGGTTGCCTTCACCCCGCCCTCTTCCTCCTACTCCTCTTGATCTCCAGGTCCATAACTAGGAGCCTATGTAGGGTTGTGAGGTGCTCACTTGGGATGACCTTGCAGTCAGTGCACAAACCTTTATCGCATTTCCTGCAGAGAAGATAATCAATCTGAGTATTGCCCATTAAATTTCGAAAAGTGACCAGGTGCTCTTCCCTCTTCAGGAAACTCGAGTTATCTATAACCAAATCAAAAGCTCTAGCAAACTCCAACAGTGAATTGCCTCCCTCATTACTATCCCTAAAATCGTACCCGCCATGCACATCATCATAACCCCCAGCACTAGCCCCAATATGACCACTGAAATCTCCGCCAATAAACAACTTCTCTGTGTGCGGGATACTACGCACCATCTCGTCCAAATCATCCCAAAATTGCTTCTTGACCTCCGGGTTCAAACCTACCTGAGGAGCATATGCACTAATCACGTTTACAGTAAAAGGTTGACTTGAGAGAATGTACAAAAGTTGTCTTGTTCGTTGACTATCTTATTCCAGTGCACTTTACTTGATCTTTGTTCATCCAAAGATTCTATCACCACCTTCTCTTCTCTTCTTTCCACTTTGCTGTCAGGGGAAAGATCCATCCGAGTCATATAATAATTGGTTGGTAGATTCTTTCTTATTATATTTATTGCATATTTGTGTTATCATATTTATTAGCATTCATTAAATACAAACGTGTTGTTTAACACTGTCAAACGTTGTTCTACTCACCAACTTCTCACGATATTTGATCTAGAATTTATTATTTTTAACTAAGATTCATCCTTCATCTCTTCATTAATTGGTTTAACTAAAAGGCTCAGCACTTTATGGTCAAACAATTTGGCGCCGTCTGTGGGGAGTATTTCAGTTAAAATATTTAGTTTCTTCTAGATCATAAAGGACAATCATCTTTTTCTTGTCTGCACAAACTAACAATGGCAGGGAAAGGAGATGAAGGACAGAAAGCAATAATAGGTGTCACTACTAACATCTTAAACACCACCAACGAGGATGGCAGAGAAGACGCCGAGAATGTAACACCGGGTGTTACACCCCGCGGAGTGACTCACCTCCCCCACATGGAAGTGTAACTGCTTCGCGTGAGAGAGGAGCTTCCACATCCACAGCCGAAGAAGCACCACCAGCAATGAAAAATTACTGGAGGAATGGCTGACAAGCACTCTAAATAACATACTCGACAAACCCACTCAATGGTCAAGTAGGAACGTCATACAGACGGATACCACATTGATCGTCGATGAGCAACCCGCTCCCCCGACAGGTAACGCTCACACCGCCGTTGATGCAGGTAATGACACACTCACGTTCATCCTAAAGAAAATAAAAGAAATAGAAAACAAGAACAAGGAACTCCGCGACCAGATGAGGGAGCATCAAGAAAGGGTCGATAAAATACCGGGCGCCCCAAAACTGCTACCAAAACAGGATGTGGGCCGATTCGTCGAACAACCATACAGCGAGGAGACATCCCCACATGCCATACCCAACACATTCAAGATGCCGCCATACTTGAAGATATATGACGGCACGACGGATCCCGAAGATCACATCATTCACTACGTCACAACAGTAAATGGAAACGACCTCTCAAAGGAGCAAGTACCGTCAGTGCTACTAAAAAAGTTTGGCGAGACCTTAACCGGAGGAGCCTTAACTTGGTACTCACAATTACCAGCACGATCTATAACAACATTCGAGGAAATGGCCGACAAGTTCGTCATCGCCCACGCCGGAGCTAAGAAAGCGAAAGCCAGAGTAAATGATATATTCGCCGTTAGGCAATTGCCTGGCGAGGGACTCAGGGACTTTTTAGCCTGGTTTAACAGGGTAAGAATGAGCTTACCAAATGTATCGGAAGGAATGGGTGTAGCAGCTTTCCAGAACGGGTTGAACAGGAATGGATCAAGAGCGAGAAGAAAACTATTAAGCAGACTCATGAAATACCCTCCCACCACTCGGGAGGAAATTTACAACGCCTACTGCGCCGAGGTGAGAGCGGAGGAAGACGGCCTTAACAGCCCAATACGACGTGTAACATCGGTTCAAATAGAGACGAGGAAAGATCGTCGCAGTGATGGTCGAAGAGATCAGTCAGGACCTCGCCTCAACCGAGATAGGCAGCAACCTTATGTCAGAACAACCGTCCCACCATCTCCTCGCCAAGCGGAAGGACCGTCCAGGCCACATACAGGGACTCAGTCAAACGAAAGAGGTATGCCTCCGCTCTTATCTGCTCACAATTTTTATATTTCCCCTTCAGAGATAGTGTACGCACTAGAAAAGCTTGGCCCGAAGGTGAAGTGGCCGCAGAAGATGAAATCCGACCCGAGTACCGAAAGTCGAACATCCTCTGTGAATTCCATCAGGAGCGAGGTCACAAAACTGAGGATTGCATAACCCTACGGCAAGAGGTAGTAAACATGCTCCACCAAGGGCACCCGAAGGAGTTGATGAGTGATCGAGGAAGAGCCAATTTTGGCTACGGAAGAGAACAACACCAAGGACAACACAAGTTGAACGTCGATCCCTTCCACCTCCAGTACGACAAGTAAGAAGAAATTCAATGCCGCAATCAACGAGGCTGTCAGCGAGGAAGTGGATAAATTACTCGCTAACGGCTCCATCCGAGAATCAAAGTATCCTCAATGGGTCGCTAATGTAGTCATGGTAAAAAATAAAAACGGGAAGTGGCGGATATGCGTGGATTTCACGAACCTGAACAAGGCCTGCCCAAAAGACTCCTTTCCCTTGCCTCATATCGATCAGCTAATTGACGCAACAATAGGGCATGAGTTGTTGAGCTTCCTGGACGCCTACTCAGGTTACAACCAAATCCTCATGGAGGAAGAGGACCAGGAGAAGACTACTTTCATCACCCATCAAGGAACGTACTCTTATCGAGTCATGCCATTTGGCTTAAAGAACGCGGGGGCGACTAATCAAAGATTGGTAACCAAAATGTTCAAGGACCAACTCGGCAAAACTATGGATGTTTACATAGACGACATGTTGGTCAAATCGAAAAGGAAGGAAGATCACATCGACCACATGAAAGAAGCCTTCGGGATACTAAGGTAATACGGCATGAAGCTGAACTCGGAAAAATGTGCCTTCGGCATAACTTCAGGCAGGTTCCTCGATTTCTTCACAAAGAGGCATCGAGGTCAACCTTGACCAAATCAAGGCCATTGAGGGAATACCCGGAGTGTTAACCAGTAAGAAACAGGTGCAAAAATTGACGGGCCGCATAGCTATCCTGTCGAGGTTCATCTCACGATCCTCCGACAGATGTCACAAGTTCTTTAACGTGCTAAAAAGGACAACGGGCTCCAATGGAATGCAGAATGGATCGAGGCCTTAAGGGAACTATAACCGTACTTATCTTCGCCCCCGCTACTCGCCAAAGAAGGACACAGTGAACGCCTCCTGGTATACTTAGCCGTATCAGAGGTCACGGTAAGCGCAGTACTAGTATGCGAAGATAAAGGTATGCAATCTCCGATCTATTATATTAGCAAAATTCTTGTCGACGCCGAAACGAGGTACCCTCACCTCGAAAAAGTGGCCTTGGCATTGGTTATAGCTTCACGGAAGCTTAGACCATATTTTCAATGACACCCCATATCGATGGTGTTGACATCCAATTTTGTCCCTCCTTTCTTCTAATTAATTTTCTTGAGCTTCTAAGTTACTAATAAACTGAATACCCTATTTTTGCTACTAATTTTTACGATTGTTGCTACTACTATCATTAGTATTAATATTAGTATTAGTATTAGTGTTAGTATTGATATTATTATTATTCTTATAATTACTACTTTTACTATTATCACTTTTATTATTATTACTACTACTACCGCTTTATTATCATTACTACTACTATACTACATTTAGTATTATTATTATTATTATTATTATTATTATTATTTATTATCGTTATTAATACTATTGTTGCAACTAGTATTGTTACTATTTTAAATTATCTACTTAATATTATTTTATCATGTATAAATTTGTCAATTTAGGAGCCCAAGGAAATACTAAGAAGAAAGGAATATTAAGACAATTTCAAGCCCAAAATTCGGCCATCAGCTAGCCCATGTCCAAAGACCGAAATTCATTCATAATTGGCCCATTTATTTAATCCATTCGGCCAACAAAATCAGGCCCAAACCCACCAAGCCATTGAACGGACAAAGGTGCCCCCAACTTTACTCACCAAATGACCTAAATAACCCCATTTGAGTTTGAATCAGCTAGGGTTTCTTGTCGTCTTTTTCTAAAACGCTGCTCCTCACCCCTCTCTCTCCCACCTATCTCTTTCCTCTTGCCATATTTATAAAAAATCCATCGATGCTCAGCCAAGAACAGAGGTTGTCCTCCCCATTTTTGTGCAAGTCTCTCAAACGCTCATCTCTCTCTCTTCCTCAACGGGTCAGTCAACATATGAAGCCAAAAGAACTTCTGAAATTTTGATTCTCCAAGTCTGAAGGACTGATTTCTTAGAGATTTGGTTTGATTTTCAGAATGGCTCTTATGGCCGTTTGAATTTCAAATGCCACCAAGAAATTAAACCCTAGATTTTTCATTATAAATAATGGTGTTTTGAGGCCATTGGGAGAGGCTCGAAACCGCCGCTCACCCCCTCACAGCCGCCTCCTTTCCCTCAAATACTTCTAATCTCAAACTCTTTACTAGAAAAATTAATTTTTTCTTCTAATCTCTTTGTGTTTCTGTTCGGCCTTGAGGCATAAAAGAACATAAATCTTTTGGTATTTGCTTGTCAAGTTGAAGCCAATTCGTTGACCCAAGACCTGCTAGGCACGCCTCAGTTCACTGCACTAAAGCAGGTCAGTGTCTCTTCTTTTCATTTCGTTTCTGATTGTTTCAATTTATGTTTGCAATTTAGCATCTGTTTTAGGCGTAAATGGTAGTTGTAATTTGCTTCTCATGTTTTGTGTATCCTACAGAATAGGTTTTAGCTTTACCGCTTCGTAGATCCTTAATGATGCATACAATGAGCATGTGTTCTGTATTTTAGCATAAGTGTATGGCTCTTGTAGTTGTTGTTCATCTACTAGAAATCATGTTTCTAGGAGTAATAATATAAAAATCGTGTCCAGAAGCATCATAGTGTTGAAAGTTATATGTATTTTATGTTGATGGATGAAATCGCGACCTTGATTCAAGATCTTAATTTAGTTCTCATGTAGTATGCATTCACGCTCAAAATTTATCCTTTAGAATCCATGAATATTAGAATCTATTGATGTTATGTGGGCTGAACGAATATATGTAGATTGATGTTGTCTATTTTATTTATCGAGATTCATGAAAAGTTTGAATACTAATCCAGGCACCCCGAGAAATCTCTGGTATAAAACACATAAGTGTATTCTGTCTAGAACTATTTTTGCCGAGATCTTATATTTATGTTTGTTACATTTTAGGGAGGCCATGATCTAGATTTTATCTTTGTAAAGTGATGATACCAATTCCTTTTTTTAGGCTGAATGCCTACCTATGGATGTGTGTTTGTGAGTTTCAGAATTGTATTCATATCTTACAAGCCATGAATTAGAGAACATCTACCATTTTGTTTAACTCGTCCTATGCGTGGTAAATCATTCAAGAAGTTCTTTTTATTTTTTTTATTTTTAATCTTTGTGTATATTAGATATCATGCATTAGGCTTTCTCATGTTTAGATATTACGGTCACCTTCTAATTATAATGGGTTAGGCATTACATCTTCGGGTTTTGTATTTGCTTTAGAGAAAATTGATTTCAAGAGTCATGTTTAACTTAGAATTTAAAAATACGTTTTAAAGTAGTTTAGCTTGGTTTACTCTCGCTCAAAGAGAAGCATCTCTTAGAATACTTTCTTTAATCTACAACTGCTTTATTCTTTAAGATAATTGAAATTTCTATTCAAACATTTCATTTGCATTGATTCACATTCTCACGGTCTTATTTTTAAGGTTGTTTGATATTCAGGTTCTCTTTCTAATTCTACCTTCTTTATTTTTCCCTTTCTTTGCATGTACATTTTGGAGCAAATGGAGTCTTGATTCGAGACTCTCGCAGTGGAGTCGTATAGAGACTCAACGCTATTATCACCACATGGAATCATTGCATACCACTCCTTAGAGCACCGGATAGCGAGAAAAACAAGCGAAACTTGCTTGGGGGCCTATGGCGGCTTTTGTCTTTAGCCTTTATTCTGTTTGAATTTCCCGGAGTGATATTTCCTTACTTTTTGTGTGATTTCAGTTTAACTCTCTGTTAACATAGGACTAACAATAATTTTATCATATTTTGGGGCTTCACTTAGTTATCAAAGTATTTATTTAAGCATATAGAATGTAACACCTAACTTAAGGGGGCTTTTAAAATCAGTAACCTTTCCCTCATTTGATATAACCACTTGATAATAAACCCGGTCAAGTCTTTCAAATTGATGTAAACGAGTATCTGTGAGTAATATTCTTTCGAAAAGAACCAAGTGCTTTTAACAATTATTGTTTCAAAAGTTATATTTACCAAGAGTAGTTCTTTAAAGCATTCTTTTGAGCTCAAATGGGATCTCTGATTAAATATTTTTAGAGTAATTTTTAAGCTTCTTTTAGCCAAGACCAGCGAACTTTTCTTTGACATTTGGGCATACAACTATCTAAATTATTTTAAGTTCATTAATTAACCTAAGTTTGGCCGGTTAACCGTTATTAACGGATCTTATAGGGTGCTTTAATAGCCTTCCCTGTAAGATTAATTAGAACCCTTACCCATAGTCTTAAAGGTTAAGTAGACCATAAAACAGAGTTAACTTTAAGCAATATTTAGCTAAAACTGGTGTCCTAATTCACCATTAAAATAATTAGGTGGCGACTCTCTTTAATTAATTAAACCTTCAGAATTACCAATATGTTATACTCTAGTTTGACTCGTGTTAAAATGGGGTATAACAGATGGTAACGACCTTTCCCCTACGAGGTATTTTGCATAAACCCGAGCTATCGGGGAAATTGGCCAAATAGGCCATAGAGTTGAGCGAGCATGATATAACATATCAGCCGCGGACAGCGATAAAATTGCAGGTACTCACCGACTTCATCGCCGATTTCAGTGCCAAGATAATGACTGAGGTCGAACAAGAAACTTCTTGTACCTCGTCCAGTTTACCTGACCTATGGGTCCTATATACCGACGACGCATCCAACGCATCAAGATCTAGATTGGGACTCGTACTCGAGGTCCCAACAGGCGAAGTCATTTGCCAATCCATACGGTGCCCCCATATGACTAACAATGAGGCCGAGTATGAGGCCGTAATTGCAGGATTAAAGCTAGCTCTCAAATACGGAGAACGACGAGTCATCCTTAGATGCGACTCGCAACTCGTTGTCAACCAAGTCATAGGAACTTCCCAAATCAAAGAACAGAGGCTAAAAAGGTACCAGGTAAAAAGTCATAAACTGCTACCAGAATTCGAAATGTCGACTCGATCAGATACCTCGAGCACAAAACATCAAGGCAGACAGTCTTGCCAAGTT